AAAATCAATAATTCTTCAAATGTTTGTTGATAATTTGAAACCTAGTCACGCATGAAAGAGTTTTTCAATACTCTTAATTATTTGAAAATCAACAACATTAAATTAAGCGGTTCTATCTTTTTGGAATTTATCTGGGCAGTCTTTCATTGGCCGTTCCATGCCGCTCTGGTACGGATCTTTTCCTGCAAAGCAGAGATATTGGAACAATATGATTGACATCAACTCTCGACTTCTGTTTGCGACATTATTCACAAAAAGGTGTGTATATATATATACATAGTTAGATACATATATAGGTCAGTCTCATATACATATTCCACTGTCAGCCTTGACTTACTTTCCGATCTTTCTAGGGATAGACACCGGGACATCTCATCCGTTTCTTGGCTGAGATTGATTTATTTTGGTTCCTCCATTGAAATTCCTCCAGTGGAATTCTATAAAATTGTCTCGAAATGGATGACTTATCTTTAGCCCCAGATTCTCCATGTAGACAAATTGTCCATGCAATAGAGGGTTGCTTCCAACACACCAGGTACAAGAGCGGTAAATGTTACAAAAATACGCAGAAATACAGGTAAAATGACCAATTTCGGCTCCTTGTGGCTATCATTTATCTATAATGCACTGGAGCAACCCTGGTGACTGCAATATGATGATACCAGGCTTCCAAGTTCCAACTGTTGAGGCAGCCCCCCACTTGATCTGCAAGTGTTGAGGCCTCCCATTCTGAGAAGATTAGCGTGCTCTCCACACCTTAGCAAACAAAAAACTGTTTGGATTACCGATTACCATCGAATTTCCAATGTCTACAGAAAATCCATGAAAATCCTATGTTTATAGATGATTTCCCGGCTATTAACTTCCATTTACAGGGGATTTTCCAGCTAGCCACGTTTCATTACCAAAGAATAACTACTGTTGGTGCTGGTTGTCTGAATTCTCAGAGTTGGTTGCATCAAAGCACAACCCCCTCATATTTGGTGGTTACATCATTTTTTTGTAAATTATCTATTCAAAATATGAAAGCCAATCGAAATTCCAAGCATCTTGGAGATTCAAACGTATAAACATGCTTCAAAACACTAACCAGTTCCTTTCAGTCCATTTCACTTGGAATCCTTGCATGTTTTTCCCTGAAAATCCCTGCAATCTTATTGTAAGAGCTCTGTCACTGGTGAGATCAGAGAAGCATCACCCCATCCCTTCAGATCATCGAAAATGGCACGCTGGAACATCCATCTAATAATTATATCCTATAATTAATCTTATATACTCTCCTGCAAAGTAACATTACCGTTTTTTGACGATAGGTTTTCTATAGCAAACTCGGAATATTACCAGAAGGTCAATAGGAGCATATATCCCGTTATATTCCCGTTATAATCCCATTATACCACCATTCTTCATGGTTGTTACATTAACAAAGAGTAAATACCAATAAATCCCATTATATAAATTCCCACTAACTCCCCATTTGTTGATGCTCAAATAACAAGATGAGCTATAATCCCCATTACATAGTTGTTCCGGCTGATTAATCGACAAACTGACAAGGCTCTTCCCCGCACCCCAAAAAGTTGACCCACATTTTTTTCGGAGAACGTGACTGCGTGAATGCAGATTTTTTCTTTTATTTGAAGAAATACCCTGAACTTGTTCAACGTATTCTGGTTGGTGGTTTGAACCCCTCTGAAAAATATGAGTTCGTCGGTTGGGGTTATGAAATTCCCAATATTAATGGACAGTCATAAAATTCCATGGTTCCAAATTGCCAAACCACCAACGCCAGATATGGGATTTACTATGGTATTTACCATGATTTACCTATCAATAAATGGGTATTTACCTATTGGAAAACATTTTCATGAATCTTCTGAGATGTTCTGAGATGTTCTGAGCTGGTGGAGACAGAAAAACCGTAAAAGATCATTCTCCGATTCTCGGTTTCCCCGTGGGGTGAATAGCACATCTACCTTAGGTCTACCTTAGTTTTCCCCAGTGTACATTAACATAGACTATAGACACTATAATAATCCATAATATCTAAACCAGATTTTCTATCTACTGTAGCAAGCCGTCGCAGCAAGCTCTTGTTTGAATGGAGATCCAATGGTTAATGCGGGATATATGCTGATATAGTCGATACAGTGTGCCATGGTCAAAACATTGTATCTCACCATTACTGGGAATCCTCAGGCCATTATAATGCCCTATTGAAGCATGACAATCCCACATATGACATCATATGACTACATACTACATGAGTACATACCGTAACCAATCCCAATAATCAGACATCGACACACAATATCGACAGTGGGCTCACTAGCTCGTTTCCGAAACAATGGAAGACTCCAAGACCATTGTTTTTTTTTCGAGTTTCTCCCAGAATTCCGATGCCAGTTTTCGCAGCGTTTTTGAAAAAAACCCTGCACACGGCCAAGGCGCAGAAATGGAGATAGTTGATGAGTGGTGCCGGAAAAGTCAGATCAAATCATGAAATAAACATAGGTAAACTCAATAATAAACCATCCCATTTAAAGCTTATTACTTTGGGATGATGTAAGGATTCAACCAACACTGATCAGTCAACGAATCTCAAAACATGGATGGCTTCGCCATATCTTTCCAATCCATCCACAGCCTTATCAGAGCTGCAAACAAAAACTACTCTACCTGAAGCAACCATGCAAGTGGAAAAAAGCAAGTTGAACAATTGCGATCCTATCAAATTTAATTTCTCCGTAGATATATATATATAGTGTAATATATATAGTGTGATTATATATAATACACATCCATGTATAATATTGGATGGAAACTGGTAAGTTATGTGAGTTTTTACTTCATTCCACTTCCATGTCCTTCGCTTCGCTGCACAACCCTTCAGCTTCGCGAAGAGGTGGCGCCCTCGCTGAGAAAAACATTCTTGGGACGATTCGATGCAAAAATTATGTACAGTACAGAATGTGATGTGTATATTAATAATTATTAATTAATGCAACTTAATGCATATATTTGCAGGCTATATATAATATATATAATTATATATATATAACGTGGCATAGATCACATGTATAGAATATGTCTCCATGACACTGTAACATCCTGTAACATCCTTTAGATTTTTCCATCCATCAAGGGTCAATATCTTCACAGATCAGATTATCGAATCAAATGGATATCTTTGGACCTAAACTCACCACTTTCTGAAAACGCTGCGCTAAGGGCCGCTAATCGTCCAGTTTTTCGAAGGTTACAACAGGAATCATCCTCTCAGTCTGTTGAAAACACCAGGCAGTTTGAATCTATCCCGTCGTATTCCACTATATCCACATGAATTGTTGGTCAAACATTCATTATTCCCCCTTAGTTGAAATATCTTCTTGGAAACCCCTGTTTAGTATGTTTAGTACTGGATCTATTCATTCTCGGGTCCCTTATTGCGGGTGTTCAACATTGGGGGATTGGACAGACGTACTGTCAAGTTTTACGGCTCAAACCACAAATCTGTTTGAGATATATTTCAGCTCAACCACTGATATTTATCTATCAATTCTATAAAGATGTCTTCTTTTTGGCTTCAGCATGGTTAACCATAATTATTATGTATATTTATGCATATATTGTGTATATATGTGTATATTAATTATATAAGCACCGTGTGAGCTTGTCTCACTTAAACGGAATCCCATGACTTATGTGCCAACTGCAGCTTCATTGCATTCAGGATATCCCCATTGTTTGTATTTCCCGCATGTCACCAATGTTCAAAGTCGAAAATGTGCTTCTCTCAAAATTGCAATGTTTCTCAATTACGACCTGCCATGTTGGGAGATTCCCATTAACCAAATTCTTAACGCTTTTCAACCTACTCCAACCTTCCAGTTGCCTCTGAGATGGATAATAACTAGGTTAACTTTACCTGATTTTTTCGGATGGTTATGGATGGTTACTTATTTGACAGATACTTCAAAATGAAGGCTATATCAGATTCATGGCCCGTCACATTCATCCATGCTTCAACGGGCGCGGCGCGCGGGAGCCCCAGAAGCCATCCTCATTGGCCTGGCACGAACTTATCCCATCAATCATGGCGTTATCATGGGATAATACTAGGATACTAGCTTGTTAAATCATTATCTTGGGATTGATGCTTAATTCCAATAATACTATGATTTAAGTAAGCATCAACAACTGGGATTCCCATGGGATTGACCATACTCAAACTTATCACAATTCCATCTTGGGAAAATGACATTGGATCATCTCCACATCATTTTGTGAAAGAAAGAAATACGGCAAAGCATGGTAAGCTATGATCCTATTTGGGATAAGGTAAAGCAACCCTAGCAGCTTACTTTCAGATTTACCACATTAAAAAAAGACATGAACACACCAACCAGTGAATCCACAAAGTCCATCGCTTGAGCTTAAGCGAATGGGTCTCCATAGGGAAAGAACCTTCATTTAACCACTCCTTCCATAGCGAACTGTTGGGGGTCGGAAATGGTGAGAAACCATTGATGAAATGCAGGTCATTTCAAATGTGGAATGGTAATGGATCAAAACGTCTCCAAATTGGGTACCCCAAAGCAGGATGAAACAGGAGGGTTTACGAGTCCCTTGAGCCTTGCAGCTTAGTCCCCATATGTCGGACCAAACTGCTGCCGGAGGGGGCAAAGAACCATCAGCACATTTAATACTTGTTGTTTATTCGGTATTTGCGTGGTTACAAAGATGATAAAAAGAAACTGAGGTCACAGTTTGGCATCCCAAATGTGCGATTCCCAATTGGTTCCCTAGTTCCCTATATATATATACAACCGTATATAAATCACATACACATATATCATATATAATATACATATAATCCTACCAGTCCTTTGCGGTTTTCCTTCTGGCTTTCCCTTAAAGCCTACGCCAACACAGCAACGAAACGAGCCTTCAACTCGAGCCTCAGGGGGAATTCTTGCCTGGCGGAAGTCTATTAAAAGATTGATGACCATGGCACATATATGCATATTATACATTAAAAATTAATATAACCTGATATAATATAACTTAATTTATTATAATATGAATTAATATGATAAAACATAATACAACATATATATCAAACATCCTAATATTGGTGATTTGTGACACTGTTATTTGTTCCCTTCTGCAATCGGCCGTTTCATCCTCAAAATGTGTCAAGCAAGGAAAGTGAAATGTCCCAACATCACCTAACCATCGAAATCAACAACTGCATTGGAAGGCCATGTCCAAACTCCTCAGACTGTAAGCTTAGCCCTGTAAGGCAACCTACATCAAGTTCGGTGCGGATAGCATTCATCATCAGTTGGACTCCTCAACTTCACAACGTCGATGACACTGGTTGTTGACCACTGCTTGTCGACTTTGAAAAAAACTGTCCCAAACATATGCTGGTCGTTGGGGATCAGTATCCCCATTTTTTTGGTTCAAAAAACATGTTGAAACATAACATCTTTGCACCAAGCAGTTATCCAAATCCTATGGATGTTGCCCAGCAGCAAATGTTGATTTTTGGCTCCAGAAATCATGGGCTTCTGACCCACACTGGTCAGACGTTGCTTCATGTTCTGTTTTTATTGCCACAAGCGTCACTTAATGGCCCATTCTGGTTCACGCATCTGCTAGCATCTTTTCTTGGAAGGCCAATGATACTCATTCCAATTCACTGGACATATCTGAGAAGAAGATGAAATAAACATTAATATATATTAATATCATGAATAAACAATGTGTGGGATGATTTGTCCATTTGCAATCCAATTGTTCCAATCCTAGGCACCTTGTTATATGATATTATATGGTAAGCCACTATGAGGTCGGAAGAGTATTGACTCAACCCCATCTGCCATCCTTTTTTTATCCCAGGCCTGGTGGGCAAGGTATTGCCACGATCCAATGCTTGAGGAACTTCGCGATGCATCGAGAAGAAGTGGATGATCGTCAACTGGTCGTTCCTGTCTCTGGGGATGCTGATACGACATCTGCCGTCATGTCGTACTGGGCATTTCGGCAGAATGGTGTCCTAAAGTACGGGAGACCCCCTTTTTTTGTGACAAAAAAAACCATCTGGTTATGACTAACATAGCCATGGAAAATCACCATGTTTAATAGGTAAACCATCTATTTCTATGGGCCATCTATACCATGGCTATGTTAAATAACCAGAGGGTAAGAGGAACAACATGATGGTCAACTGATCAACCATCAAATTTGGAAGTCACCTATGTTCAGACACAGCAAAAACAAAAGCCTCACATCCTTGCAGCCTTTTCAACTTCCCTTTTTGTCCAGAAAAACATTTGCCAGCACTATTTCCTCAGCCCCTGCGGGGCGGGGTGAAAATAGGGTAACCCCACAAAAAGCCGTTGTTGATCAAGTTTATCATCGCTTTCCCCATGTTAAAAACTGCCATTTTGATGGATAAATCCCTCGTTTTCAGACCTCCGCAGCTGAGGTCTTGCTGGGTGCCCCCAACTGCACAGCCAGATCTAAGGGATGTGGTTGCACTTTGCCAGAGCCCTGGTGGTCGATTTGCCCGGATGCTGTTGCTGGTGACCATGGGTAGAATGGTAAAATTCATTGGAATTCCAAACATGTATAGAACAAGTACAGATAATAAGTGAACAGCCTTTTGTATTGGACATTCATGCATAAACAAGATTGAAAAAAAAACAGTATCATGATAAAGTTCACATTCACACATGAATACATTATAGAATAAATATATTCGGATGGGATTTAGGGATACTATGAACGACTCATCCGGGACGACTGGGGAAGTTGCTTCGAAATAACTTCGACTGGTGGCTTCTGCGACCAGTCAGCCACGTATTGAAGTTATACATAGCTATACTTCTAGAAATCTTGTAGATCTATGTAGATCTCAGATTGTACATATCTATGTTATCAGATTATACACTAGATCAACTGATATCAAATGATAATCTCTCAAATGATCTCAATGCTTCTTGTTGATTTTGTTCTAACAAACTCCAGGCTACCCAATCATTGGAAGCCAGACGACCATGTCACCAAAGGTTCGCAGGTCTTGAGGCTTCAAGCGCTGGAACGGATCCGCCTTGGGCTGGGAGAATGGCTCGAAATGGGCCCAGATGTACCTCGAAGGACCTTCCAACAATGTTTGGGAAAATTCCGAGGATAACGCTATTAAATTCATTTAGATTTACCCTCTGGTAATTTAACGTAGCTATTGAACATGGCCATTTATAGTTGATTTTCCCATTAAAAAATTGTGATTTTCCATAGCTATGTTAGTTTACCAGAGGGTAGCATTGTCTAGCAAATGTCTTGTAAGTCTCAGCAACCATCCCAAAATCGGGCAGATTTGAGGCATAGCATGGCATAGCCTCTTCAACTTTCCTCCACGCTATTGGAAAGGCATGAAAAATTGATGAAACAAACGTGGTCAGGTGAACATATCTGTGCATCCAGGGATGGGTCCAAATTATCATCATCGCACATGAATGGTTTCGTTTGGTAGTTTAATGCATAGTATTATTATATATATATATATGTATTAGTTAGTATTGTGCTCCCCCGTCTTTTTCCCTGACCCGCCCAGATTAATATAACATAAATTCCACCAGCCTACACCCTCAAAAAAACATAACAGCCAAACAAATTTCATCTTATAAATATTTTTCATAAGATAAAATCTAACTTTCCTTCTTCTTCAAATTCTCCTGATGTTTCATTGTTGTTGTATGCCTTTTGTAGTTTTTAAGTTGAATATCATAATCATCACATACAGGGCACTTCATCCATTTTATCTTTTCAAATTCCTCTTTGTCATCTTTACCAATATTTGAAAGGTGTTCCCTTGAACGAATATGCTTTGACCAACTGCCTTTTTGAATTTCAACTTTACAGTCATCACAATATACTTTTACCTGTTTATTCTCTTTTGTTTTTTCAGCATTTTCTTTTGCCCATTCTCTTCTTTTTTCAGGATTATTTTTTGAATAGAACCTGCAATACTCTAAACAAGTCTGACACTGTTTATATTCTCCAAAGGGCTTTACCTTTCTACATTTGGAACATTTTTTTGTATCCTCCATAATTCACCTAATATATATAGATACTTTCCCTTTAAATCCTTTTTCCCTATATTATTATAAAACCATTATCATAAATCATAACAACAAAACAATACAAAACAAAACCAAAACAACCTAAACAATACAATAGACCATAAAACAGTCTATACCATAAATCATAACAACAAACCAAAACAAAAGACAATTTCACTTTTATAAAATGAAATTTAACTATAATTTTTCTTCAAATTCTCCTCATGCTTCAAAATGTTTGTGTGCCTCTTGTAATTTTGAGTTTGAATTTCATAATCATCACTTCAAATTTATGGAGATAATCAACATAATTGTCATAATCATTTATTGTGAAGATTATGGGATTAATTACCACAGTCTCCCCCTATAGGGGAAGCCTCAACCCCCAGCCAATATACTATCCCTCCCCCCAGCATACATACCAGCATACATACAAACTAGCATATCACAACAACATCACATCTTTCTCAATCTCAAATCTCTTTAATGACCGCAATTACCATGCCCAAACCACCCTTCATGAACTTGTTGATGACCATGTCTTCTTAACCTCAGCGCGATGTAAATGGCACAGCAATCCAAACTTTCGGGGCGAAATGGAATGAAAAAGATTTGTGTGGTGTGCGTCCAGACTTGTTGGTGCCAGTCTTCTCAAGTTTTTGGAAGGGTTTGCCTATTTATCAGGCATGAATGCACTGAATGTCAAGCTTGTGAAGGCTCACTGGCATGAATGCTCTATTGAAACAATGCCTACCTATATGCTGTACATGCAGACATTTTCAATCACGAAGGATCTGCTCAGAGCACTGTTTTGCAAGTCGCACTGTTGGCGAAGCAAGCGTTCTCACGCACTTTCTTCGTCGCCAAAATTGGCGAGCAACTGGCGTGACATGCCCTGAGACCGAGCAAGGAGCCCAGTGGTGTCTCTGGCCCAGACCTAAATGTGGCGTCTCCTGTGGTGCCTTTTAAGCCCTTTGTCCGTCCTGGTCTTCTGTGCCGTGCCGTTGTCGCAGCTCATGTTTTGCCCGCAGGAAATCAGCATGCTGGTGCTGTTGGTGTCTGTAGCTCCAGCGCTCAATGCAAGGATGATGAGGCAAGCGACAAAACGGATTGGCGCCATGAACATGCCGACACCCCTAAGCTAAAAAGCGTGCCCGAGTGGTTTGAGGAAAAAATGCTGAAAAATTACACAAAATTCCAAGCTCAAACTGCAAGAGCTAATTTCTGTAGCTTTCCAATTGAGAATGTCAAAGGGGCTCAAAATGAGACAAGGTCAAGCTCTCCAAGAACATGTGGCTTCAAACCTCCGACTGACATATTCCCAACAGCTGAGCGCCCCGACAACAGGATGAAGAAGAGATTGATGACGAAACCATGGCGGGGCAGAAGGACAAAGGAACATAGAGTAATCCCAGCCAATGACCCAAACTTGCCAAATGCAAATCCATGGGGAACAACAAATGAAGGGCAAAACACAAAACCCCTAAACCAGAAAACAGCACATCAAATCAACCATCTCATGGTTGCATCAAGTAGGCATGAGTAAGAAAAACAAACGCTTACAAGGCTTTCTAAAAACACTAAATCTTTAACAGTTCATGCCTCATCAACAATCTTGGGTAATCAGTTAATTTGTAATATTTTTGGTTCAACTTTTCTGCAATCTCTTGCACAACATAATAACCTTTCAGCCAGTGGGAAGTTCTTTCTTTCTCTGTAATTGCTTTCTTTCTCATTATCTTTACTTTGTCTCCCACCTCTAATGTTGGGTATATTCTTTCTTTCTTTGCCTTTGATGCTACATTCAGCATTGCCCTAAATTCATTTTTCTCTTTCCTTGCTTGATTAGGTGTCATACCTGTAGCGGAATGCTTCATTTTATCATTGTATGTCAGCATAATTTCTAAATTGTAGTCTGTCCATTTGATATGTTCTCTTCCTTTCTTTTCATCTGCTTCAACTCTTTTAAAAAGCATATCTTTGTAGGTGCGTATAAATCTTTCAGCAAAAGCAGGATGACCCCTTGTCCTATACAACTCAATATTCTCACCTTCAATATAGTCTTTAAAATCACCTCCTGCTATTGCTTTTTCATCATCACTGTATATGATTTTTGGTTTCTTTCCCATTCTTTTTAATGCCTCTTTAGTTGCCTCAATAACATCAGGTTCATTCTTGCTTACAATTGGAATTACTACGGCATACTTGCTTAAAACATCAATACAAACCAATCCTCCTCTATATTTTTGTTCATCAAAATCATAATACCCCATAAAAAACAAATCAATTTGATAAGTATGATTGTTATGAGGTGCTACAAAGGAATTATGCCCTCTTGGCTTTGCTTTTATCTCAACATTTTTCCTAAAGAATTGTTCAACATCCTCTTTCTTGATTGTAGGTTCTTTCTTTTTAGCATCTTCTAATGTGGTCTTTCTTGAACCATAGCCCGCTTTATCAAAATAAATATCACGAATAATTTGTTGTTTCTTACTTTCACTCATTATAGAATAGATGATATAATAAATATTAAAATTATATCATTTATTCTTCATTTTGTTCATTGAACCAGTCTTGGTGTTTCTTTGTTCTAAAATGCTGTGCTTTGTATCCGTATGAAATGATACAACCACAATCACAGGTAATCTTTTTAGATTTTCTCTCATAGATTTTGTCAGCATTATTCTTTTGATATTCTTTTTGTTGTTCTTGGTAGTATGTTTTTTTGCTATGATAATTACTGCGTTTGATTTCACACAAATGTTCTCGCTTGTTGTCATTGTATTCTTTGATGCGCCCATTTTTATTGTTTTGGTAATAGTTTTTGCTTTTTTCTTTGTAGGGTTCAGGATTGTCATTGTATCTCTCTTTTGCTGACCTTCCTGATATGTTTTTGTTGATACAGTCATTGTTCTTAATGTAATAACCTTCTCTTTTGTGAAGTTCGGCAATGCTTGAACATACATAGTTCTCTACGAATTCAATCTTACAGTTTTCAATTCCAAATTTATCAAACATATCAAATAAAGATGTGTATTTTCTCTTGTTTCCATTGAGATACTGCTGGTAAGCTGTTTTATGTCCTTTAAATCTGTTTGGTAATGTATCTATTGTTGAACCGAAGTAGCATTGCTCATAAGCAATATCAACAACTTGGTAAATTTTGCCATTTTGGTAGTTTTTGGTTTGTACCATACTAAACACTATTATACATAAATAAACAGTCTTTAACACCATTTTCACAATGATATTTTATTTGAAAAAGCACAATTACAAGACACACAATATCCAACTACATTATCCTTGAAGTGGCTAATATCATTATGAACTCTTTGGCAGGTAATGTTTGACACAATCCTGCCTTCTTCAAAATCTATCACCAACGGTTCATTACAATTTTCACACTGGGTATTCATCAGGTTCATCAAAAACTCTACATCAACATAATCCCCTTCTACATCTCTACCTGCTTTTTTGTCTTGCTCAATGTAATTTAAAACCTTTCTCTCAAAATACTGCTCTACTATCCTTTTAGATTTACTTTCTTCACCTTCACTATATTTGAAAAACTTAACTCTATTGAAATCAGTAGCCCTTGTGATACTTGTAAAAAACCAATGCTTACTAACATACCATTCATTCCAATCATATATGACTATATCACCATCAACACTACAGCCCTGCTTTGAATGAGCAGTGTAGCAGTAAGCATATATAAAATGCTTTCTCAATAATTTCAGTTCTATATTTTGCTTCTCACCAGTTGCCACATTTTGTAAAACAACAATATCGCCAACAATATTTACGACCTTAAATTTAAAATTGACATTAAATTTCTTCCCTTTAGTCTTGATATATTTTCTACATATAACTTCCTCATTTATCACATATTCTTCAGTTATATTTTTCATTTCCCTGATTTTGCTTGAAACCATTTTACAGGTGTTGTTTGTATAAGCAATGTTATTATCATACATTTCTATCTTGT